TTCTCCACNGTGTTTCGCTATAAATTTCGCAAAATTGACCCTAGCAGCCAAATTCTAGGACCCCCTCCCCCTCCCCCCCAAAAAAATAAAAAAAAAAAAATGTGGCTTGATTTCTTTGCGTTCGATTAAGTTCATTTGAAGCGGGGCCATTGAAGAACACAAGAGGTCATTGCTTTTTTTACCTGGGTAAGAAAGTGTGACTAACTATTTTCATAACGATTAAGTGTTATGTAGCTGCGTCCGAATCATTTTCCCGGTGGATCTATCTCCTCTCCCTATGAGCCTCTCACTTTTCTTTCATAATTGGGGGGAGGGGGAGGGGATTTACATACAAGAGCAATCGTTTAATTAGCGCAACCGTTAAAGCGTTGACGGATCAGGGGTGGAGAATATGGTAAATAAAAGGGAATAACTGAGAAAAGAAGCTCATTAGGGAGTAGAAAAGGAAATTGTAGCCGATTTACGACTCGGGTTTTATGAAACAATCAATAAGACTCCACATAAGCAAAAACAGATAAAATAATCCAATGTGGCGCTGCGAAACATGACAGTGGCAATTGCGACAATAATCGGTGGATAGGTTGCGACCGCTCAGTGGGTACTTTGGCTGAGGAAGTATGGACTCCAAAACTTGCTTATGAAGAGGATGCGGCAAGGGCTACACGGGTCTTCATGTTTAGACTTTCATCAAGTTTAGTTACGATAAAGTAGAAGTTGAACTGATACTTTTGTGAACTGATATGACAAAAGTGATACTTAGAAAACGTAGCGTACGTGTCAAAGTGATACGTTTGATGTGACAGGTGACATTTGTAATGGTACGAAGAAATTAAAGATAAAAAAAAAATGGATCCATTTCACCAGTCTCTGTCAATCTCGCAAAATTGACTTTAGGGACTTTAGAGAAGCTCTAAACTTTGTGTATGAATAAATAGCAAGTTTGATGAGCTAAAACTGCCAGGAAAATTCGATTTCTTATTTGCGTATTTCATGTGAATTTTATAAGATTACCTTAAACAGTGACGTTTGAAACCTTTTTTTCAAAATTAACATTTTCCCTTCAGAGAGCGTGCAGAGACCCTGGCTTCGACGCGCAAGTTCGCGACTATTGATGATGCATGGCTGATCGACTGGTTGAGTGATTGGTTTAGTAAATTCAACCAAATTCGCACAAATTTGCCGAGCAAAGTGCTCACCCCGACTTTCATCAAGTTTTGTTTGGCGTAGGTATTTTATGCCCCACAAGTTGTTCATCAATCATCATTTGGCGAAAAGTAGCGTTGACATCCGAACTCACCTTTTGCACTACCCGATTAAATTGCTTTTAGATTCTGAGTGCGATTCTATAAAATATATTGTACCTGACTGTAATAGCCTAACCAGGTATGGAGCTCTTGCACGTGTGGGGGAATTGCAATTTAAATACTTTTGTAAAATTTTGCGAGAAGCACGATGACGTCACTGGTTTTCTCTAAAATCAACTCCCAAGTTCAAAAAAAGCTCTCGAAGTTTAGGTCGTAATGGAAGGGACATCCAATGCTACGGTGAGAGTCCACCTCTGTATCTAGTTAACCTCTCCAATAGGGATCAAATTCATTGAAAGGGGGTGCCGTGGTTCCAAGTTTGGAGTCCCCATACAAAAGTGCAACCCTGATAATGTATTTTCTCCCTATATATGTGCATGGAAAGTTTGGCTAGATAGAGAAGTGCACTCTTAACGTAGCTGGGATATACCCTCCATTACGGCTTTTACTTTGAGGGCTCTTTTTTAGTTTTGTAGTTCGTTTCAGAGAACTAAGGGCACCATCGACCATCATGTTCCTCGCAAAAAAAAAAAAAAAAAAAAAAAAATACTTAAATCGCAAACCCCCCACACATGCAAGAGTTCCACCATACTAATTTCTATGTGCAGAGGGTAGATGATTCACAAAGAAAGAAAAAAACAATAAAATAAAATAAAATAAAAATAAAAAGAGTTCCATTGCCTCAAGTGAAATGCACTGTGCGGCGGACGATTTAGGGTGGATTAGCAACCCTTGCGAGCGCCACGCCAAGCTGGTTGCTGAAAGGACACGTGACCACCGGATCAAACTCCCTACAGTAACATATCGATGGCTAAACTCGGAGACCGCGTATCTCAATTGAGGTTCATAAAGTTTCCGCTCTTATTATATTCCATCGAATGGGAACAAGTCACCTTGATTTGTTGAAATTTTAACATGATATTCTCTAAACATATATTAAAAAAATCTCGAAAATTCTTGAGAAGTTACATCGTTTATTGTCCGAATAAACTGATGAAGTCTGACGGGAAGTTTGCTTCATTCAAATCAAGATACGTGGTTTTCGAGTTAAGCTAATGATATGCTGCCCAAAAGATTACTGCACGGTTGCTTTCAGCCAAATGGAAGGAAGAAAGAACGTGGTCTAATTGTGCCGTAAGAGGGTTTTTCATAATTTTAAGCATGTGATTTATTTCATGTACTTGTGGCTTTTGTGTTGAGACAAAACAGTCCCAATACGTTGACGGAGACAAACGCAGAGAAATCGGTAGAAAATCTGAAACAAACATCGAAATGCCTGCATGGAAAGTTTCAGGGTGGTGTCATCTCTCATATTAATCAAGAAAGAAGAAGAAGAAAAAAAAAAAACCAGATTCCCCGTTGGTGAATTTAAAATGTTGTAAAGAATGTTATCAAAATAATATCAAATGATAAAGAAAAGTTTGTTATCATCAAACAGGGGGTTCATACTACCTGAAAATGTCTTAGGCATTTTGATGTTTGTTTCGGCCTTGTTTACCCAATTACTTGAAAGAGCTGTCTATAGAGACAAATTAAAACCCTCCGTTGGTGAGATGGAGGCATCTGCTTTTGATGCACTAGTATTTAAATGTTGGCCTACCTTCTAATGTACTTGGCATTGCAGTGACATATTGAGCGATTGGTCTTGCAAACAAGCCGATGTTCGGTAAACTTGTTGGGAGCCGCTTTGCCCTAAGTTCACAGGTTTAAAAGAGACGAGTCAATATCCAATGAGAAGGTATTAAAGTGGCATCAAGAGGGTAGATAACTTCGTTAGTGCATTCCTGGTAATTTTTCTCAAGAAAATGTTGCGTTCAGAAAACAAAAGTTTCCATCCGTTGCCAAAGTTCAATTATTGAGGATACTATTTGGCTCTAGTTTAGGACTAGTCTAAGAAAACTTCAAGAGACAATTTATTAAAATTACTACTTCTACCGCGGTATAAGACTCAACTAACCAGTTTCTGTAACTACCGCACGGTCCCTGGCGCACTTTTAAGCAGCCGCTGGTTGTGACGACTAGATCTTTGTTTTCCGTGCAATGTAAACCATATGATGGGGCATTCCTAAAGGGAAGGATAGTGATTTAAGGAACAATATAGATACAGCTCTAAGGGGCTAAACCTCTGAACCGAAAAGCGTCTGCTGAACTTATCGGTTCGCACAACTGAGGTTTTTTGTTTTGTTTTTGTGCGCCCTATTCCTATCGATGAAGGAGAATTACGAGAGTCATTCCTCAGAAGCAAACAATCGTGGAAGACCCGCGTTTCGGAGCAGGAGCTTTGGACGAGCAGATAAATTGAAAGAAGCCCGCGACAGACACTCAAAGTGGCGGAAAGATGACGTCAGGTGAGGCATCCGATTGGGCGGGCGGGGAGGGGATAACAGATGATGCGTGTTATAAGCTGGATGGCCGGATTGCCAATCGAGAACGTGTCCTGGGTCCCAACTTGGGCGCCTCGGGGGAGCGATTCCCATCCCGATTACAACTAAACACCCTAGTACTTAATAGCTTCCTCCTGTATTTCCCTCATTTTTCACCCCCCGCCACCCCCTGCCAAACTTAATTTTTACTTATTTCCTCCGTTTTATCTCTTTTTTTTGCCTCTAATTTTTCTCTCCGTCCCGTTCCCACAGAATAACTTGGGTCGTTTCGCCGCTTCGACGTGTGAGGAGTCCCGAATAACTAACATACATCCTTTTGATTTCATGTGCCATTAGGTGCGGGTCCTTCGGATTTTGGAAGGAGCGCGCTTTCCGATTCTATTACCTCCCCTCGCTCGTCCCGCCCCGAGATTTAAATTCCAGGTTTTGTTAACAACCCAATTTTCCGTCGCGTGAGCTCTCACATTCGAGATGGAATCGTGCTTTTCGACCGCACGCGCGTATGTAGAGACGATATATCCTACAGACCCCCCGTGGTATATTCCTTATATCCAAGTATCAGTGATGGTGATAAGTTGCGATTTGATCGTAGAATGTATCGCTGTTTTATCGAAGTTGATTTATTGTAATATAATCGTAGGAAAAATTCGAGAAAATTGCGATATTATCGCATAAAGTGATAAAATGGCGATTTTATCGACAGCGTTTCATCACATAATATCATCGAAAGAAAAATTGCGATAAATTTAATTAAAATTTCGGTTTCTTTTTTAATGGGATATTAAAGAGATAAAGTTGCCACAAAATTGAGGATAATCGCTTGGATGATAATGATCCTGGCGATTTTATCGCTAAAAAATCAAAACAAAATCGCAACTCAATTTCATAATATCACGATTTTCCAGTTGAAAAATGCTACTTGGTTAGTGTCAAATTCACTGATAGAAGTCGTTCGTTGCGGACGCCCTATTTGTTGATTCTTTGCTATAAGTTTAAATAAAGGTCAATCTGTATATCACAAACCACACCACGTCACTGCTTAAATTGTTAGCGTAGGGTGTCCAAAACATATTATCCTGAAAAATGCCTCCCGAGGTTAAACTATGTATTTTTCTGAATTTCAGTGACCCGCTAAGAGCTAAATCTCATGAAAGCATTGCTCCCCACATTTTTTGGCGTTGACTTCATCCATGACCTCAAAAATATTAAAATTTAAAATTAAAAAGGATCTTAGGGGGTCTCAGATCTTTCAGGGGAAAACAACTCGATTGCCCCTTGGATCACATGAGCGGGGGGAAAAACTAAAAATAAGTAACTTTTTGTTTTTTTATTCAACTTGCTTATGCATTGTAAACTAGGGTATTTACAATTTGGAACAGTGGTTACTACGAACAAATAATTTGCATACTACTTAAAGTACGTATTGCACAGTTCTCACAATCTGACAAAACTTTTAGGTCTGTGACACGAATTCAATACGAAGCAGGGAGAAAATTCTGCTCCAGAATACAAAGTTCTTTGCACGTCAAGACATTGTTAAAGTTCATACATATCATTTTGCAGAATCTTGAATTCATTTACCTTGAAAAATGGTAGCGTGTCTCCGTTACCTTTCTTAAGTTACACTGATATTGCAATAGGAAATAGAAAAAGTTTAAATGCTGTCCCTGATCATGCGACATTATGCGTCTTAAAGACCGATGATCAGAGAGCCGACAGCTTTGATGGCCAAAGATTCTTCGTGGACAAAACATTCATAGTAGTTGGTTCCAGGTTTACAAGTAAAATTTAATGACTAGAATTAACACGTGCTGGAAAATTATCGTAACATTTCGTTCACATATCCCAAAGAACAACAGCTGGAATCCTGAAGAGGCTAGGGAAGAATTATTCTGTGAAATTCTCTTTTTCCTCCTTTATTAAAGTTAAATTTTGAGGATGCAGAAATGAAATTTTTGCCTTGGGTCCTGATCTTCATTGCATATATTTTTGCGCTAAGATAGCAAAGAAGTAAAAGTCATCATTTGATCATTTTGTAATATTCAGACCGCTATGCTTGAAGGCGCCTACTTAAACATACCATGTCCCTGTACGAACGAAATTTTTATCACTTAATGCAATAGTTTTAATGGAAACTAGGGGCCCTCTACGCTCCCTGTTTACCTCGCGGTCCAATTCTTCGAGGCGCCTCCAAATGCGCTACGCGTCACTCTTATAATTTTATATAATAGAGGATGATAGTTCACAAGCTTTTACCATACATTATGAACGTGAATTGTTTCTTTCACATTTGTCTACTACTCCTACAAGTCGGAGATGATCAATCATGGAGAGTCGATAGAATGTGGAGAAACGCAACTACGTCAAGAAGTTTGAATTATTCCTCACGTAGTTCGTATTATACTATGAGTTTTTTTTTTTAATTAAAAAAAAAGCCCGGAGAAGATAATTAATATTAGATTGATGGTGAAGAGGGCTCAACATTGCAGACAGTGCATTCAGAGTAACTTCGGATCGATGGTTTTGTTGCCAAGGGCTGATAAACGACCGGATTTGCTGCATCTGGAGGAAAAAATAACATAAATCATAAGTCTCAGATTAAATAACACCTATGCAAAAAGAGAAAATTCATGATTGAGAATCCAAAATGAGCATTGAAACTTTAACATGTGCCTCACAAATCGCGGGAGGTAAGAAAGTCCGTCGGCCTTTTAACTACTCTACAGCTTGATATTGCTTCTGAAATGTTTGCATTTTCAACATTTTTCAGAGATCTCACGCTGAAGGCTGGGAAAGTTCTTCCAGACCCTCTCTGCGGGAATGACATTACTTATTTTGGACATGCACCTTGAGAAACCATTTTATACTTCAATCTTCTCATCAAATAGTGTTCCCAATGAAACTCCAATTTCATACAGTGGGTTTGATACAAATATAACGTGGAGTTAGTATGATTGATGTCCAGTAAAATATGTTTATGATGAAAATTTTAAAAGTTATCTCCTTTTTTCGTCGTCACGGATATTGCACCGTCCGTTTCACAAATATTTTTCCCGCAAATCATTATTTTCAATCAAACATAGTAACTTCCAAATGACTTCCTTGGTATCAACCTAACTTCCGATACATACTAAAAAAAATAATTCATTTTACTGTAAACATAGGTTTTTGACGAGACAAAAGAATGTCTTTTTTATTTTAAATTCCCCTTTTAAAAAATCCCCTAATATTAATATACAGTTCATTGCATTATTACCTGTTGGACTAAGCTTCGGGTCATCATTTCTGGCAACTAAAGAGAGGCAACTGGGAAGGTATGGTTTCTTCACATGGTCTACAGCGCTTCTGTTTTCATTATCTGAGGATCACAATAAATATCAACTTAGAATACTTCGATGAACCATATATAACTTATTATATTGGACAAATATAAATCTATAGTTTTATATTTATATCTGCTCACAATTGTTTAGGACTGGTAATACACTGAGTGATCCGTAAGTCCGGACCCCTTCCGGTGATTTTTTAAACGATTACAATCGGTGATTTAAAAGTTTGGGTGTATCTGATGCGTTGCTTTCAAAGTAAGCCGAAAATTGTAATTCCAAATTGCAAAATGTAGTCCAAGACCAATTTATCATCAGACAGGGTTCAAAATCAAGCACCACAGTTGGAATATAATAATTGGCTCACTCTAGCGACAACGTATGTGCTATAAGTTTCCATACGCAGATGAGTGCTTTAACAAATGAGTCAGAAATTGTGGTTCCTAATTGAAAAATGCAGTCCAACTTTACAGAAAGGTTTGACAAACTTTACACCGACACGCGAAGTGTCAAGCTTGAGCTGAAATAAACCGGAGAAATTCGGGAGGCAGGGAGAGACACGTAAAGGAGCATTGAGGAGGTACGAAAAGCCGGAGTGTTGATTGAAAATATCCTAATTCAAATCCACGTTGACTGGCAAAGGCGATTACTGACGTGCTAGAGAAGAACATTGTATGAAGATTTGAACGTTGCCAAATTCCCTTGAACAATGTGTTTATTCGTGAGGAAAGTTATAAATGTTTAATCTTGAAAATTTCGGATACTCCACATTCAATAGCGAATAAAATCCTTAAGAAAAAATCAAAGAATAAAACTTGCGAATTCCCAAGAAAATTTTTACTTAATCGGATGAAACTTTTCAACGTCTGAAGGTTCATACGGCGTTTCTCTGAGCAGTGGAGATTACCAGTGAAAGACGAGAGGGTCCCGTGTAATTTTAAAAGAGATTAGCGGTTGTCCCTAGAAACACCGACCGAGCGTGTTGCTCGCGAACACTCTCATTACAGCCAACTCAGTTATTAGTTCTAATTAAACGGTTAGATTGGATGACGCGGCCCCTAAGTACCGCACGAAATATAACGTGAATCTGTTAGAATTAAAGCAGAGACGAGTAATCATAAATTTAAAAAGTGTTTTTATTCAAAACCCTGATCATCTCTGGCAAAATTTTACCTTGGAGTTACAGATACAAAGAGTAAACGGAATTTGACTAGAATTTTCAACTCATGAATGAGTGGAAGGAGAAACGAAGTATAGTGAATTTGTAAGGATTGGGCGGAGAGGAAGAATGATCATGGAGAGTACTAAAAAAGGAGCAAGTCAAAAGCTAGGAGAGAAGATGCGGAAGAGAGGAGAGGGAATACCTGCAAAATAGAAGAGTGAAAATGAGTATGTCGTCACCTTCCGGCCAAAGTATTACAAGTGGCATGCGACGTTTAAGAATTTCTGCCGCCATTTTACTTTTTTTACAGAGAAATTATTCAACGAAGCTGTCCAAAAATTTCACGAAATTTTATCGGCAGCAGGAAGAAATTTCAGTGAAGTTTTCGAACAGCTTTGTTGAACAATTTCTCTGTAAAAAATTAAATGACGGCGGAAATGTTTAGGCGTCGCATGGAGCTTGTGATACTTTGACCGGAAAGTAACGATGAACCTTAGAAAAAAACAGAAAAACAAATTTTTTTTTATTTAAGCGGAGTATTTTTTCATCGAAAGTAATGTTTTTAAATGGACGGAAAAACATGGAACCCAGAGGAATTCCATAGGGATATCACAGTGGTATGGCATCTTCCTTCGATAAAATCTCGCCGAGCTTCATATCACTTATCTAGTTCCAGCTCAGTTGCACTCTTCGATTTTATTCGTATTTACCCGTAACTGAAGTCGCATTACCATTCTCTTTAAAAGGAGGAGAGTGTAAGCGATTTCGGAAATCTCATACTGCAGCTTTGGAATTGTTTTGTTGGCCTCAGAGGACGCAATTGAAATGTATCCTATATCCTTTTAAAATTACGGAAAACAGTTTGGTGTTACCTAGAGATTTACGTCCAATGGCATCACTTACAGATTTTGGGTAGAGACTCGCCCCGCCCGGAGCAGTGTCTGGTCCCGTATCGTTAGAGCTGGTAACCACTCAAAATACAGGTGATGCCATTCTGGGACCCCGCAGCTACAGGCGTTCTTACCGCAAATGTTTGGACTGTTAGGTATAGAGGTAGGATAAAGAGGGGATAAATCCTTCAAAGTAGATATGATCAAATAGGAAAAATGCATGTACATTTATAATGACTTTATAGAAAGTAATGTACCAGAAAGCAGTGTTTCACTAGGTCATCAAATTCTGAATGAAATCAAATGCTTTTCAACTTTTCGAGAGTTTAATTCTCAGTGGTTCAGCATCAGGTCATTAAAAATATAGAGTTTTCCCTGAATCGATTTTTATCGGTTTTTTTGATGGATTTCTCTGACTTTATGATAAGTACTTACCGTCTGTCCGGTAGCAACCATTTCTGCAAAGGTCACCGGGGCTGCATACCGCAGGGGCAGTAAGTCCTACGATACTAAATGCTTTAGAGCCACCCCCGCTTATACTTTCTTCACCATCCGAGTCAGAATTCACAACGCGACATCGCGCTTCACAATCTGAAATTTAAATACTCAAATTAATCAAATTTTAAGAAAAATGCATGCTCAGATAAGAAAGTGAAGACTCTATTGAAGAGGGAATGTGATGACGTGCAAAGAGAATGAAAGTAAGACAGGAGCCGCACTTCGTTTTTGTAGATCTTGAAGAGGCCGATGATAGAGTGCCGTTGTTAAGACTTTGGGAAGCTTTAGAAAAATCTGGTTTTAGTGGTAGACTTATCGTAGCAATTAAGAGCTTTTACAGAGGCGCTTATACGATAACATTTAATGTCAATGGACATTTTCCGAGAATTTCTTTGTAAACAAAGGATTAAAGCAGGGTTGTTTTCTTTATTCGCCCACTTTGTTTAAAGTTTTCTTGGGACAGGTCTTGAAAGAGAGGGAAAGGAAGTGTTCTGGCATGGGCGTTTAAATGGCATTAGAGGCGTGAAACTAAAGGAGCTTATGAAAGATTCGAAACTATTTTATGAAAGTCCATGCGGCAGTGAGATTTTTTTGAAAAATATGAAAAATTCATTTCAGGGGATAGAAATCACCAAAAAACAAATGAAAAAAACAATCATCTTGGATATATCTACTGTTTTGAACACCACTTGCGGTCAATAAGATTGAGCAACTTTATAGTTCTCGTCAAATGATGGGCAATTTAAATGTAAAATTTGAAAACTCGCCGTGAAGTGCAGAGGAAGAAATAAATTTGATAAAAGAAAAAAAAAGTCCAGAAGCTATGGAAAGTGAGGTCCGTTTAAATGAAGCGAGAAAAATTTGCACTTTACAATTTATGGGTTTTGATCGGCCAAAAAAGGAAATTATTAAATTTACCTTGTTTGTCCCTCTGATGTTTCGTCTTTCCTATGCAGTGCTTCCTCTGGAAAAAAACAATGATTATTATGAGCGTTCAAAATTCAAGAAAAAAGGGGTAAAAATTCGAAAACGGAATTTCACAAAAACCATCAAAAAATGAGTAGTTAAAATAATAATAGAATATATTCATAGGAGAACTCGACACAGTGATAAAAATGTCAGTCATGCCTAGACGCTTGCCGATCGTAAAGCAGACTTTGCAGAAGTTGATTCATTGGATGTCTTCAAGCAGAAAGTATCCCTTGCCAAAGGAAGTTGGAAAGAACTTTAAATAGTAAAAAAACGAAAATATGCGAAAATAGAAAAAAGTGTAGTCCACCCTAATACTTCAGTAGACATGCTCTTCTTCAAAACTTTTCTCGTGTGTAGATTCTATTTATTGGCGTCCAATTGTTAAGGGAAAGCCGTGGCAGAAAAATCGCACGGATATTACAAACGCTGCAAAAACAAAGAAGTATGGGACCAACGTGATACGCGAGGAATACCAATTGCCGGATGAGGTGCCCTAGTTGGCTCAAAGTTTCAATTTGTAATCCAGAAACTAGTAAAAACAGATTCAAATCCCCCAACGACGCTTAAGTGTGATTTACTCGACAGAAGTGTTGCCGGTTGCGTTCGGCTGGGTTGGAAGGCGCTCGCTACGTCTCCGGGACGGACTGGGAATGGGTTACCCCTGGCAACGGGCGCGCAGCTTTCTCGAGCATGCTATTGGTGCGGATGTTTTATTATTTGTACCATGAAATTGAATCTCACAGAAATCTGGAGGAAACTCCGCGCCTACCTTCTCAGTAACGGCGCGGAGGGGAATATCATTACTTTATTCAACTTTACATGGAATATAACTAAGCATAAGAAGCTTTGCTTCGGCTCCGCTTTCATTCATACCTGTATTGCCTTCTGTGCTGCAAACGTCCAATTTCTCCTCAACTTTTATTTATATTTGTATACTTTGTCTTGCTTCTTATTTGTTGCTAAAATGTGGTAAATCCTTCCTCCGCTGTGCCTTCTCTACGCTACCTCATTTTGTGTTTCGGATATTCATTTCAAGTTTTTCCGTAGGTAATGCTCCAGAGCGAGTCTTTATTTTATCAACTGGAGCGTGATTCGAGTTTTCATTTCAGACACTTCAAGTTAGAGCTCTCTAACCTTTCCGCGATAATTTAGTGTTGGTCTATAGACGGTAATGGCAGATTAAAAGAAGTGAGGTCTTTAGAGAAAAGTGGCACGGATCGCGAAAGTATGATCAGAAACACACCAAAAAAAGTCCTACCTAAATTGGATAGTCGGAGACGTACCAAAAAAAAAATCATTCTCCTGAAGAAAGAAAGTAGTAGTAGTAACATAATTTTATTTTAAAACGGTGCTTTAGCATCTAAGACCATTTACACCTCGAAAGTAGGTAGTAGTAGTAGTAGTAATATAAGTATCACAAAGTATCACAAGCGCCATGCGTCATTTCAAAATTTCTGCTGCCATTTTATTCTTTAACAGAGAAATTGCTGATGGAATCTGTTTGAAAATTTCACTGAATTTTATCAGCAGCACAAAAAAAATTCAGTGAAATTTTTGGATAGCTTTGCTGAACAATTTCTCTGTAAAAAAATGAAATGGCGGCGGAAATTTTGAAACGTCGCATGGCGCTTGTGATACGCTGTGTGTTGGCAAGTGTGAGCATGCGATTACAATAGTTCTTCTTTAGAGTTTAATTGTGAAAATCTCATCAATATTTCTTAATTAGAGCGAGTTCCGTCCTCCCAGAGTCATGAGGGTTTATTTTTGAGTTTTCCAAAGTACTTGATGATCAAGTAATACTTTTATTGCTAAGCTGAATAAACTGCTTCTTTTGGATATTTATATAGCTGTGTCCATATTTAAAATAATATCAAATAATTTTTGTGTAGAAAGTTTCTAAATACAAAAATGAAAAATCGTAAATCGTCTTTTTCAAGTTTATTTATTTAATAATTTGTTTTTATATTCCTTATTATAAAAATAATTTAATATAACTTTCGTGTATTCACATACTTGTATTGAAAGAGTTTCCTTGTCGCAATGCAACTTTTTTAGCTGTAAACTTTAAAAATATGTCATCATCACAAAATAACGTTCGGTTTTTCTGTTTTGTTTTTTTTTATCTTTATTTTTAGTAGGTATTGTTTTGCCACTTGCAATTATATTCAACCCCAAACAAAAAAAGTCGTTTTTTCCAGCACTAAATACCCTCAAAAGAATATACCATCGTTGCCTGCCTCTAAAGGAAACTTTGCGATAATTAGACATGAAATCTAATTGAGTAACTCTTTGCAAATGAGTGAATGCCGAATGAGATCCTATGGGTGGTAGGTAATTAACATTTGATTTATTCGAATTAAATCATGCAGCAACGGTTCAGATGCTCGTTTGCCCCTAAGGACAAGAAAAAAAGCAGCTACGGGGTATTTTTTTTTCTAGTTACCTTGAAAATAATTAAAAACTTTAATGCTTGAAAGTAATTTTATAGTCATCAAGGGAGATTTGGAGTCGGGACCGGGAATCGATGTTCTCTCCTCTACTTCCGAAACTCAATCGTATCGTTGGCTCAAAAATCTAATTAGAATTGAACTTTCGTTTTATTCACAACTCACTGCTGACTGCTATCAACTTGCAATAAATATCTCATCCTCCGTTGTCAAGTTTATTTGAAAAGCTCTTGATATGCAACCTAATAGCTTGATTTTTTTTAAAAAAAAAACATGAATAATCAGGGAAAATTCGGAAAGAACCAATAGTTATGCTCATTCCGCTTCAATTTATTCAGTCAAATGTCATCATAGGATAAGATTTTGTGCGGTTTATTTTGTCTTTTTCATGCAAATATCTTTCTTAAAAATTTCGTGCAAAAATGCCCAGACAATCATCTGAAATAAAATCAAGAGAAAGTGGAAAAGAAACACCGCACTAGAGATCTGTGTGTTTCTAGTTTCACCGTCGATTTATCATAATGAGCATTGATCAGTATTTGAAAACAAAAAATATATTCAAACGGTCGATTTTTTACTTAATCGATAGATTGAAAACTGATCAAAAAGTAAATATCACGATGATTAAAATAGAAAAATTTAATTCATGTCGAAATTTAACCTTTTCTCGTCGAGCCGGCAAACTTTCATTCCTCATTTTTTCCTGCCCACTCGCCCCTTTTCGACCTTTTCCACCGTCGATTATGGAGTCTCTCGAAAACTAGTGAATAAGAAGATTACGCGCCGGCAAAGCCCCTCTCGAGTTAAACAAAAATGTCGAGTGGTCTTTCAAGAAAAGAACGCTATAATTGCTTGTTAGCGAGGAGAATAACATCGTTAAACATAGCTTCAGTTTAACCTTGCTTCCTCCGCTATTTTTATCCTTTTCCGTTTCCTTCCCGCCTTTTCTCTGCTCCAATTTTCCCGGGAAAGTCGACGTGTCGCGCTGTAATTGAAGCACGGATAGTGACATAATCGCAAAAGTTAATCAATGCCTCCCGCCTTCAGTTTTGTTTATATTTGTCGCTTATTCATTTTGTCCGATCCTCGTTTGCTTTGCATCTGAGAAAATTTTACGAAGGTAGGGCCCAATGTTGTACTGCCGTGGAAAGGCAAAACGTCGTATGAATCCTCAGGCGTTGCCAAATTTCCCCTGATAAACCACGAATTCTCGGGAATTTATAAACATTTTTCGTCCGATTTTTTCAGATAATTTAGTTCACAATGTCACCTGGAGTACCTGAAATTTTCAAGGAAAAATTGTCATAGCTTTTCTAAAAACTAAACATTTCATCGAAAGACATTTGGCAACTCTCAAATGTTCATACAACGTTTTTTCTCAGCACAGCAGTGTACTCTGTAATCCAAAATAACATTTAAACCTGGTTTTATTGATGAGAAGTTGCCGTAAGAAACTAGTCTCGCGTTTTTACGAGCCGCCCTCACTCAAACTATACAATTTCGTCAAAACAAAATAAACGAAACTAGCTTTTACATGAATTTTCCGAAAAACTTGGCAAAAATGTATAAATTGTGTTTGTACCAACAGCCCTATACGAAACTAAAAATTGTGTCAAAATTATAGAGTAAACGAAACTGGGTCAGAAAGTAAAAATTTGTCGTAAAAACATTGCTTCGTGTTTAAACGCTTTTTGGCTTCGGACTCAAGCATATATGGACGTTGTTGACGAAATTGTTTAAAAATTATAGCGTAAACGAAACTGGGTCAGACAGTAAAAATTTGTCGTAAAAACATTGCTTCGCGTTTCAACGCTTTTTGGCTTCGGACTCAAGCATATATGGACGTATTTTTGCCAAACGAAACTATGTGCATTATGACGTGAGCCCTGTCATGCATATATTCTTTTGGGTCTCAGGGCTCATGTCAGAATGCACATAGTTCCGTTTGGCAGAAATACGTCCATATATACAACATATACAAATTAATGCCTCTTATAAAGAGATCATCATGTTAATACAATAAAATTCAAAACGCGTGTTTACTCACTTTCGTTTCTTTTACTTTAACCCTTCCACCTCATCAGTCTCTCTCCCGGCAAAACGAGGAGAGCCGCAGGCAGGCGCGCCCTGATTAGAATGTGCAGCGGCCAAAATGCGTTGCTCCGCTGTGACGTAAGGACGTATCGCTAAACTCGCTGAAGCCGTTGGATACAATAGGTTATATCGACGAAAGGGCTCATCTCGAATGGGAGGTATGCCCTTGCTGACGTCAGCGGGCGACGAATTAAACGCATTTGTTTGCAGAAAAGATGAGCTCGGCGTCTCATAAATGCTTAATAGGGTGAGTAAATACCTCGCACTGTCGATGGTACAATTAGACAAACTCGCTCGATTATTTACTCTGCGAGAGATACGATTTGAGGTTGCCTAGTCGGGCAATACAAATTTGCTGCAAAATTTTGCTAGAGTGTGAAGGAGAGTTGTGCTTTCTTGAAAATGGCTCACAAATCAAATGGTCCAGTAAATCTCGTCAAAGGTCACTACA